GGCTGTGCTGGTCTCTCCCCAGGTAACGGGCCCTCGGGGATCTGCCTGTCCTACCTTTTGTCGGGCTACGCCCCCTACCTGTCGCCGGGGGCGTGGCACCCCAACCCGCTGCTGCACGCCAAGCTGCGCGAGCAGCCGCAGCGCTCGCTGCTGGACCAGGTGACTCCGCCCGCCCGCCTATCGGCCCCTAAAGCAGTGGTTCTCTAACTTTTTTCACTGATGCACCCCCTTAAAAATATATTTTTAGTACACAGGCAAAACATTTTTGGAAGAAAAAAGAGGTACAGTGCTGCAAAATCACTGTCTTATTTATCAAAGCCAAACGTAACCATGGTAACGACAGGTCGTTGACAAGTGCGCTGGGTCAAACTAACTTGGTGGGGGGGTCCGTTTTATTTTAAAGGATATTGAAACTAAATACTGAATATAAAATGCAGTGCATGAAAACACATTTATATTCTATCGAACTTTTTACAGAATCATTTCTCCCAAGACTTATTATTATTATGAGGAGCCTACTGATTTTTCAAATATATTTTGAAAAGCTTCACGTACCCCCTGCAGTACCTCCACATACCCCCAGGGGTACGCGTACCCCCATTTGAGAATCACTGCCCTAAAGGATCAGTTTAGTTTGCTGTTGTGTGAAGCTCTATGTGTTACTGTGGAGGCTACCCCCCCGCTCTCTCTCTCTTTCTCTCACTCTCTCTTTTGCCATTTCTCTCTCTCTGTTACCCTCTCTTGTTCTCTCTCTCTCGCCCTTTCTTTCATTTGCCATTTCTCTCTCCTGCCCTCTCTCTCTCTCTCTCTTGCCCTCTCTCTTGCCCTCTCCTTTTCTTTCTCTCTTTTGCCATTTCTCTCTCCTGCCCTCTCTCTCTAGCCCTTTCTTGTTCTCTCTCTATTTCCCTTTCTCTCTTTTGCCGTTTCTCTCTCTTGCCCTTTCTCTCGCTCTCTTGCCCTATCTTGTTCTCTCTCTCTGGCACTTTCTCTCTCCTGCCCTCTCTCTCCCTCTCCTGCCCTCTCTTGTTCTCTCTCTCTTGTCCTCTCTCTCTCTCTCTCTCTCTCTGTTACCCTTTCTTGTTCTCTCTCTCTCTTTCCCTTTCTCTCTTTTGCCCCTTCTCTCTCTCTCTTGCCCTCTCTTGTTCTCTCTCTTGCCCTCTCTTGTTCTCTCTTTCTTGCCCTCTCTTATTCTCTCTCTCTCTTGCCCTCTCTTGTTCCCTCTCTCTCTTGCCCTCTTTTGTTCTCTCTCTCTTGCCCTCTCCCCCTTCCCCCCCCCCATCTCGAGGCAGATGGCCTCCGCCCAGAAACATGGAGCAGAACCATGTTTCTTCCCCCTAAAGGCAGTTTTTCCTTCCCCTAGTCGCCTAGTGCTGCTCTTGGTGGGACTTGTTGTAAATAACTCAGAGTCTGGTCTGACCTGCTCTGTTTGGAAAGCTGTGCTCTAACTGCCGTAGCGATTTGGAGCTATAGAAATTAAACTGAATTGAATAGTTTAAACAAATGGCTCACACTGTGTCCTCCTCTCTGGTCAGGACCTGGAGTACCTGTGCGAGGGTCTGGAGGGCCGCTCCTCCAACCCGGTGGCGGTTCTGTTCGACTCGCTGCTGCTGCCCGACAGTGACTTCGGTCTGGAGCACTCCTCGCCGCTGGAGTGGCGCTACGAGCCGGAGCGCGCCGTTCCCCACCTGGTGCTGGGGAAGGGCCCGCCGGGGGGAGCCTGGCACGTAGGTGACACACACCAGGATCAGAATCAGAAATACTTTAACCCTTAACTCATTGACTGCCAGCCATTTTCAGAACAGAGAGTCCCATACTGCCAGAGTTTTCTGAGCATTTTGACTGATTTTTCCAAGAGCCACAGAATAGTTTGTGCTATGACTATGTAAACACCGAACACACCAAAAGAGAGAGTAGACTCTCTTCTTTCATCAGGAAAAATGTTTTTGTTTCTACGTTATTCCGTTCTTCCTCAACTTGCGTCTCACCGGCGCCATTTCTCTCATAGCGAACCATTGCGTTTTTTTTATTTGCCTACAGTCTATGCTAATCTCCCATCAAAAGTGGCACTGCCACCTAGAGGGTCAATTTGTTACTACATACTCTGTCTAGAAGCCGATATTTACGGAGAATCTTCAGCGGATCGTCCCCCAAGTCACTCGCGTTGAAAAACATAAAAGACGTCTATAGACGTCTTTGGCAGTCAATGAGTTAAAGCCTGATCCAAGATTAAAACAAAACAGCAAGTTACTTTTTTTTTGTTTGAATTCCTTATTTGGCCTTTTAACAAAATATGTAAAAAGAAAAAACAGAAATACATTTTTGATATTAATAATTTATTACTATGCGATGAGTCAAGATTATTTTTTGTGTAGTCTTCTGCCCCCTGTTATCAGGTGTATCTGATTGTGTACAATAGGATTTTGAGCCAAGTTTTTACCATTAAATTATGCAAAAGGTGTCAGACGCAAAACATTTCCGAAACCGTATGTATCAGATATGATACGTTTGGCATTACAGGGTTAATAATCCCGGAGGGAAATTACCTTTGTTACTAACTCCAGAAATAATAAATACTGGATAATAAATCCAGACATGTCCGATTCTAAGTGGCAGAAACGGCCACCTTGGCATCTGCTTTTGTCATTTTGAATAGATAGATAGATAGATAGATAGATAGATAGATAGATAGATAGATAGACTTACACATAGTGTGACAACACAATGAGGTAAAAAGTCAAATAACATCTCGACGTATTTACAATACAAATGCAATATAAAAATCTATAAATAAACAGTATTGGTTAAAGTACAAGTAAAATAAAATAAGTATAAGGTGAGGTGAAGAGATTATACATAATGTATTAAAACATGGAACAGAAGGTCCCCTGTCTGACCACTGTGTGATGGAGAGGGTGCTGATCATGTCTATGATGGATGGATGAAACGGTGGAGCTTTAACCGTGTGTCTCCTGTTATGTTTCAGGCCATGGAGGGCTCCATGCTGACCCTCAGCCTGGCTAACTGGATGGAGCTACCTGGACTTAAACTGAAGGACTGGATGAGAGACAAACGCAGGTGTGACCATCATAAAACACACAAACAACCCAAACCTGGGAAGTTTCTAAAAAACTAAAGCCTCAAACGCATCACTGCGCCGACACAGTGTCAGATCATTTCTACACAGATCTGCAAAAACCCTCATTGGTTCCCCAGTTTCTCTTCAGTCTCTGTTTGAGACTGAAGCTGAACTCCTCTCTTTCCTTTATTTAACCAGGAAAAGTCCCATTGAGATTAGCAATCTATTTTCAAGGGAATCCTGGCCAAGACAGCAGCAAAAGATTACATTACAAATTACATTACAGTTTACAATTACATCTATCTATAATTAGAAATTCATAAAACAGTTACAAACCATAGATCTCATTTCCAAACCTTTGAGCAATTGTTTAAAATCAAATCCTTCAACTTCCAGTCTTTCTGAAGATTGTTCCATGCTGTGGGGGCAGAGTACTGAAAAGCTGTCTTTCCAGCTTCAGTGCGGACACCGGGTACAGACAGAGGCAAATACTCTTGAGAACGTAGAGAGTATAGGAGAATACAAAAATCCTCTTGATGTGCACGAGGCAAAATGGCGTCACAGCTAATGATAGAAAGGTCTCCTTTAAACCCGCTTTTCTGATAAGATAAGTTCTTGAGCAGTGGTGGAGAAAGTACTCATACAATGTACTTAAGTAAAAGTACAAATACACAGACAAAAATTTACTCAAGTAAAAGTCAAAGTACCACATTATTATTTTACTTAAGTAAAAGTAAGTAAGTACAAGCTTTTAAAACTACTTATGTATTAAAAGTAAAAGTACTTGCCAACCATAATACCTAACGGCTTATACAATGTCATTAAGTGTACCTATCGTATTTAGTTTTAATAAATCAGTAATGTACCATTTTAATGAGCAATGCTGCAGATAAAGCATGTTTTTATTGTGTTTACCCCCTGTGACAGTTTAGATTTAGATATTTTATGCAGGTCCTGCGTACTGTACTGCTCTTCTTGAGGGAGGGCCTAATGATTATTTCCCGCTTTGGATTGGTTCAGCAGACTGATTCTGCTCTCGCCATTGGATACTTTCAAACTAACAAACAAATAAAAAAAAAACGAAATGCGTCTTGGATGTAAGGAGTAACGAAACGCTGTATAGAAATGTAGTGAAGTAGAAAGTATCCATTATTAAATCTACTTAAGTAAAGTCCAGATACACGGAAATTGTACTGAAGTACAGTAACGAAGTACTTGTACTTCGTTACTTCCCACCACTGTTCTTGGGTCTGTGTGTTGGTGTTCCCGTTCCCTGACCGGGATCCATCTTTCTCCCTCTAACAGGAATGTGAGGAACGATCGCGCCACGCCGGCGGAAATAGCCTCCTACTACGAGCACTACGTCTCCCAGATGGGCCTGGAGCAGAACTTCGCCTGCGGGACCACCGTTACCGCGGTAACCAGGCAGCCCGGCGGCCGCGACGGCGCCCCGCCCTGCTGGAGGGTGACGGGACTGCAGAGGAGGGAGGGCGAGGCGCTCGGGGGTGAGGAGAAGGGATTTTCATTTTTTAAAACTTTATTGCTTTAAATGCAAATTTAAAGGCAATTAGCACCACAAAAACCAACAGAAAGAACAGAAAAACAAGAAAAAAAATTAAAAATATTGATGATAATTTTTTTTTTTTTAATTGGGTCTAATTTGTCACATAAGAGTAACCCTGTGAAGGGTATAGCATATATCTTATTTATCTGTGTACTCCAAAAAAGGGATATTTTAGATTTTAAAAAGCCATAAGAAGAATGATAAAAGTGATAGTAAGTGCCGAATGTTAAACACAAAAACAGGAGAATTTTATTTTTATTTTTTCAATTAAATAATTGAATTGGGTCTAAACTTTCACATAAGAGTAACACCGTAAAAGTTATAGCACATATCTTATTTAGTTCTGTTCTCCAAAAAATCAGAATCAGAAATACTTTAATAATCCCAGAGAGAAATTATTTTATATATTTTAGATTTTAAAAGCCATAATAATAATAATAGTAACAATAATACATGGATATAGTATAAGAGTATAAGATATTCAGTAACTGGGGTCCACCTTCTCATAGAAACAGGTTCTTTTAGCTGTAATTGGTCATATATTCCATCATGGAAACATGTTTCACTTTCTGTAACCACTGAGTGATCAGTGGTCAGTCTTCATCCAATTAGTAGTAATTTTTTTTAAAAGGATGTATGTAATATATAACATTGCTCTGTGGTCAGGAAACACATCCAATAAAAAAAAAAAGGGTCCATAGGGAGGTTGTGGCTGCTGGTTTTTAAGAAAGAACAACCAAAGTGCCGAATGTTGAGCACAAAAGCTTTCACATAAGAGTACCACTGTAAAAGGTATAGCACATATCTTATCTAGTTATGTACTCCAAAAAATCAGAATCAGAAATACTTTAATACTCCCAGAGAGAAATTATTTTAGATATTTTACATTTTAAAAAGCCATAATAATAATAATAGTAATAATAATAATACATGGATATAGTATAAGAGTATAAGATATTCAGTAACTGGGGTCCACCTTCTTATAAAAACAGGTACATTTAGCTGTAATTGGTCATATATTCCATCATGGAAACATGTTTCACTTTCTGTAACCACTGAGTGACCGGTGGTCAGTCTTCATCCAATTAGTAGTAATTTTTTTTAAAAGGATGTATGTAATATATAACATTGCTCTGTGGTCAGGAAACACATCCAATAAAAAAAAAAAGGGTCCATAGGGAGGTTGTGGCTGCTGG